TGACCCTCCTTTAGGGGCGAATGTGACCCCTCCTTTTGCGTGGCAGGCGCAATAGTTTCAGAGCCTCAAAAGGATTTTTTCCACCCTAGAGAGTGACATTCACGTGCTTTTCTACGTTCCAACAGCCGTTTCAATCAACTTCCAGGACGCTATGCATGCTATGGTGTTCCATTGCTATACGTTGTAACATCCATTTCGAGCAACTTCCAAGACGCTTTGGATGTTACCTTCCAAGAGACATTTCAATCAACCTCTAGGACACTATGGATGCTACGTTGTAACATCCATCTCGAGCAACTTCGAAGACGCTTTGGATGTTACCTTCCAAGAGACATTTCAATCAACTTCTAGGACACTATGGATGCTACGTTGTAACATCCAGTTCGAGCAACTTGGAAGAAGCCTCGGATGCTACGTTCCAACAGCCATTTCAATCAACTTCCAGGACACTATGCATGCTACGGTGCACCATTGCTACGTTGTAACATCCATCTCGAGCAACTTCGAAGACGCTTTGGATGTTACCTTCCAAGAGCCATTTCAATCAACTTCTAGGACGCTATGGATGCTACGTTGTACTATCCAGTTCGAGCAACTTGGAAGACGCCTCGGATGCTATGTTCCAACAGCCATTTCAATCAACTTCCAGGACGCTATCATGCTACGGTGTACCATTCCTACGTTGTAACATCCATCTCGAGCAACTTCGAAGACGCTTTGGTCCAGGACACCCTGGATGCTACGGTGTACCATTGCTACGTTGTAACATCCATGTCGAGCAACTTCGAAGACGCTTTGGATGTTACCTTCCAAGAGCCATTTCAATCAACTTCTAGGACGCTATGGATGCTACGTTGTAAGATCCATTTCGAGCAACTTGGAAGACGCCTCGGATGCTACGTTCCAACAGCCATTTCAATCAACTTCCAGGACACTATGGATGCTACGGTGTACCATTCCTACGTTGTAACATCCATCTCGAGCAACTTCGAAGACGCTTTGGATGTTACCTTCCAAGAGCCACTTCAAGCAACCCCTAGGACACTATGGATGCTACGTTGTACTATCCAGTTCGAGCAACTTGGAAGACGCCTCGGATGCTACGTTCCAACAGCCATTTCAATCAACTTCCAGGACGCTATCATGCTACGGTGTACCATTCCTACGTTGTAACATCCATCTCGAGCAACTTCGAAGACGCTTTGGACGTTACCTTCCAAGAGACATTTTAATCAACTTCTAGGACACTATGGATGCTACGTTGTACCATCTAGTTCGAGCAACTTGGAAGACGCCTCGGATGCTACGTTCCAACAGCCATTTAAATCAACTTCAAGGACACTCTGGATGCTACGGTGTACCATTGCTACGTTGTAACATCCATCTCGAGCAACTTCGAAGACGCTTTGGATGTTACCTTCCAAGAGCCATTTCAATCAACTTTTAGGACACTATGGATGCTACGTTGTAAGATCCATTTCGAGCAACTTGGAAGACGCCTCGGATGCTACGTTCCAACAGCATTTGAATCAACTTCCAGGACACTATGGATGCTACGGTGTACTATCCAGTTCGAGCAACTTGGAAGACGCCTCGGATGCTACGTTCCAACAGCCATTTAAATCAACTTCCAGGACACTCTGGATGCTACGGTGTACCATTGCTACGTTGTAACATCCATCTCGAGCAACTTCGAAGACGCTTTGGATGTTACCTTCCAAGAGCCATTTCAATCAACTTCTAGGACACTATGGATGCTACGTTGTAAGATCCATTTCGAGCAACTTGGAAGACGCCTCGGATGCTACGTTCCAACAGCCATTTGAATCAACTTCCAGGACACTATGGATGCTACGGTGTACCATTCCTACGTTGTAACATCCATTTCGAGCAACTTCGAAGACGCTTTGGATGTTACCTTCCAAGAGCCATTGCAAGCAACTTCTAGGACACTATGGATGCTACGTTGTAAGATCCATTTCGAGCAACTTGGAAGACACTTTGGATGCTACGTTTGAACAGCCATTTCAATCAACTTCCAGGACACTATCATGCTACGGTGTACCATTCCTACGTTGTAACATCCATCTGGAGCAACTTCGAAGACGCTTTGGTGTTACCTTCCCAAGAGCCATTTCAAATCAACTTCTAGGACGCTATGGATGCTAGTTTGACTATCCAGTTTCGAGCAACTTGGAAAGACGCCTCTGATGCTATGTTCCAACAGCCATTTCAATCAACTTCCAGGACGCTTCATGCTCGGTGTACCATTCCACGTTGTAACTCCATCTCAACGAGCAACTTCGAGACGCTTTGTCCAGGACAAATAAACCTGGATGCTACGGTGTACCATTCCTACGTTGTAACATCCATTTCGAGCAACTTCGAAGACGCTTTGGATGTTACCTTCCAAGAGCCATTGCAAGCAACTTCTAGGACACTATGGATGCTACGTTGTAAGATCCATTTCGAGCAACTTGGAAGACACTTTGGATGCTACGTTTGAACAGCCATTTCAATCAACTTCCAGGACACTATCATGCTACGGTGTACCATTCCTACGTTGTAACATCCATCTGGAGCAACTTCGAAGACGCTTTGGGGACCGAGTCTGTGGATCAATATACTGGCAAGCATATGCAATAGTGAGGCGAAGGAAAAATTGGAACCACGCCCCCGTGTTTTCAGAGTTGCTTGCATGTGGCAGCAAACAGGTGTAGCTCGTCGCCAGTTGACATATGCCCCCAAGTCCCTCCCTAAAGGTTCCCCAGTCCCCCTAAATGCCCCCTTGGTAAACCCCTAAAGGGTTGAGTAACATATGTCAATAGAGAGACAAGTCAACATATGCCCCCATGTCCCCCCCTAAACCCCAGTCCCCCTAAATGTCCCCTTGTCCCCAGGTTAAACCCTAAAGGGTTGAGTAACATATGGAATAGAGAGACAAGTCAACATATGCCCCCATTTGCCCCACTAAACGGAATAGAGAGACAAGTCAACATATGCCCCCATGTCCCCCCCTAAACCCCAGTATCCCTAAATGTCCCCTTGTCCCCAGGTTAAACCCTAAAGGGTTGAGTAACATATGGAATAGAGAGACAAGTCAACATATGCCCCCATGTCCCCCCCTAAACCCCAGTCCCCCTAAATGTCCCCTTGTCCCCAGGTAAAACCCTAAAGGGTTGAGTAACATATGGAATAGAGAGACAAGTCAACATATGCCCCCATGTCCCCCCGTAAACCCCAGTCCCCCTAAATGTCCCCTTGTCTCCAGGTTAAACCCTAAAGGGTTGAGTAACATATGGAATAGAGAGACAAGTCAACATATGCCCCCATGTCCCCCCCTAAACCCGAGTCCCCCTAAATGTCCCCTTGTCCCCAGGTTCAACCCTAAAGGGTTGAGTAAAATATGGAATAGAGAGACAAGTCAACATATGCCCCCATGTCCCCCCCTAAACCCCAGTCCCCCTAAATGTCCCCTTGTCCCCAGGTTAAACCCTAAAGGGTTGAGTAACATATTTAAATATTGTTGAATAGGGGCGAATGTGACCCCTTTTGGGTTAGGGGCGAATGTGACCCTCGAATAGGGGCGAATGTGACCCCCGTCCCGGTGCTCATATATATATATATATATATCTACAGATAAGGTATGATGGGTATGATTAATTTGGATGAGATATTTGGTAAATAAGATTGAATATGAATAGATTAAATAGATATATACTTTTTGGCATGATATAGATGTCGGGAACTGGGAGGCCCACTGATCCGCTCCAAACGTTGCTATATAAAGAGCAGCTGGTGGGAGCTCTTCTTTCTAAAATTTTGTTGGGGCATTATTCCTAGGGGATTGAAAAAATGAATGTCATATCGGTGGATGGAATTACTTGGAAAACATGCGTTCGAAATTTCGCGTCATGTTGTGTCTTACCAGGTGCTGAGCGGGTGGCCGCTCTTGTAATCGATGGCCAAAATTTACGCTGGCTGGAGGTGGCTTGGCTCACAGACATCGATCGCTGGCATCAATAGTTGCCTATCAGATGATGGCCCCAATGAGTTTCAATCTTTCTTACATTTTTCACGGGGGGAGGCGAAAATAAGTTCAAGATGGCAGATGGTCTCCAGCTACATTTTACGAACCTCTCAGGATGTGGCCCTGCCGGGAGGGAGCCTGCAGGCATGGCAACCACCGAAGCACAGAACGGTAATGTTTTGATAGCCCCCAAGCTGGGGAAATAGAAGGCCCCAGGAGTTCTTTTGAAGCCAAAGACAGGTCTGAAAGGTTAGGTGGCAGTTGCAGTTTGGGATCTCGTTCTGCACAGCCTGCAGGATCCATCCAGAGCGCCCCCCCGAAGGGTGTGTCTGGGAGCTTAGTGGACGGAATCTGTGTGCTTTTGCCACGGCTGATCTCATTTCTGGTAGCTGTGGATGGCATGCACTCAGGTGTTTCAGCTGGCGGCTCCCAACATCTTTGGGTTCAAACCGAGGTCTGTGGGTGGAGATCAGTACGGGTGACACTAGACTTTGACCCAGCTTCAACACTAGACTCAGTGGTGTTTCAAGGTTTTGCAGGCTGCAAAGAAAACCTATATAAGGAAACCTAAGATCCAGGAAATGAAGACATTTTTTAGACATTTTTTCTATTTTTTTGGGGGGGCCCTGGCCTGGCCCCAGGTCGCGCTGAGTGCGTGGAAGTTGGGGCTGCTCCAGGGGATGTGAGCTGGGCCATGTGGCCATGGGTTCTCCAGATGTGCAAAAAAACAATTTCAATATGTTGAAAAGGACTTCTAATATTGAAATTAATGAAGATTGTTTAAAAAAGTTGGAGCATCAACTAATCTTGGAAGGTATTTCCAATCAACTGTTCTTTTCTTCAGCATTTGACCGTTTGACCCATGCCCATGTGGAAACTTGCGGATCCAATTCTCAGCACATAGCTGAGGGGGAACCACGGGATCCGTGCTTTGAAAAGGAAGCTGATGTGGTTCAACTGCCATGGTCCCATGGACGGTTTCCCAATTTTGGAGCTGCCTTTGGAGTCCCCCAACCTTCAACAGCCGAAAGATGGCTACGATTTGGGGCGCTGAACGTTGGGCTCTTCACATTCACCTCAGCTGCGAACGAAGCTCGGAGATGGAGTGAAGCCACCGCAAGTTCAGCACGATCAAGCGGCATTTGATTTCACCAGCAGACATTTTGAAAAACACTGGGTTGAACATGATTGAAGAAATCCATGAAACAGTTAGAGAGAGAGAGAGAGGGAGAGTTAATTTTTCACAACATTTGCCGAACAGTCTCCAACCATCTCCAACCAATTCCCCAAACATCTTCACATTGGCGCATCTTGGTGCCCTGGTGATGACCCGAAAACCTGCCAGGCACGGAGCCCCTGGTGAATCTTCCATGGCCACTTTTCATAGTAGGAATTGATTTTTATGGGAGCTATGGATATTAGCATTGGTAGAATACACTAAATGGGAACTATAGATTCTATAGATGGCTATTATGTATCTACATATGCCATGGTGATCTACAAATGCCTGGGAACTATAGCTATAGAATATTGGAGGCTTGTTTGTTCGATAGGCCTTCCATTGTTTGGGGATTTGACGCCATTTTTTGTGGCTTCATGTGCTATGGATGTCGGTGTTGGTGCTCCCAACCGTTCTGACCATGGCTTCCTCCATTTTGGGGACCCTCCAGTAATCCAACCTGGTCATGGGAAAAAAAACATGACTTCAATAACATTAATCTGTTGTTAGGTGATTTCCCATGGTTTGCCGAGTAGCCGAGTAGCCCCCACCTGCGCCCCGTGGAAGGCGGTTGCCCGGATGGATCCGATTGGCACCTTGACCAGGGAGGGATCTGATTTTGGGTGATCAACCACAGGAAAATGAGTCACTTATTTCCCAATTTTCAGACGAGGTCACTGAACCAAGTGTAATGATAGGTTGAGCCTCAGTTGAGCGCTTGATCTGACGTCATGCCAAGATTGGGGGTCAAAAGATGATCCCCCAATACCTGACTTAAGTATCAAACATCACCAAACTGGTCAAAACACCAGCCCCAAACTGGCCGGTTTAACACTATCACAATCCTCAAAGAGATGCCGAAAAGTACGCTCCTAGGCAACGGCCGGGCTTGTGGTCAGCCTTCTAGGCCGGGGAGCCGAGGGAAAGCGGGTTCCGCGATGACAATCGCGATGTCTCCATTTCGTCATGGGCCGTCATGGGGGCAGTTGGACTAAGGCCGGGTATCCAATGATATCCTTGTTCCCAAAAATGTGTGAATTCATTGGGAAGCTAGTTGGAGCTACGAATTGATTGAGCTGCCCAACCACGTGATAGAAGATTTCTTGTGAGGATCATCTATTTCCAATGGTTTGTAATGAGGATCTATGGCCTGAAATGTGAATAAGGTGTGATGAGATCGAAGGCGTAAGATTCTACCAGACCTTTTTAGAGACGTTGGATGGCTCAAAACCGAGAATGGTGTTTGGGAAACGGAACCCTCTCTGCCAGCTCAAACCAAAAGATCATCTTGGATGTGCCTACAATGAACTCCTCATTCACGCCCCACTCCAAGTTCATAACTGGGCGGGCTTAGCGGCTTCGCCCAAATGGCAACGATTCCAGTTTCCCAACAGAGTGATAAAAAAACAAGCTCCCCAAAACAAAGCAAATCACTGTACTACCATACCATACCATACCATACCATACCATACTACACGATACGATACTGCGAGTAAGTGGAGGTTTATTCATATTTGGGGTAGACGCAACTTTGGCTGATTTTCTGCTTGGCGCCCCCCTCTCTAGGCTGTTCAGGTTGGAGCTTCCTATCGATCTTTCGTAGAGGCGCGATCTTCGGTGATTTTATGGCGGGCGTGACACTGGCGCGACTCGATATTGGAAAAGGATGGTAAAAGCAGATGTAAAAGCAATTGCTGGCTGGTGCTTTTTAAATTTTGCTTCGTCTTACTCCTTCTTTCTCTTCCATCCTTACCCTTTCTGACATCACTTGCAAGATGAACGACAGAAGTTAAGAAACACATAGAAACACCAGAAAAAACACAACTTGGAAAAGATATGACTTGAAACACATAGAAACACCATGACTTGAAAGATGCTGATGATTTCCCCAAGATTCCCCAAGCTGTCACAGGCCGAGCGTGGGCGGCGGAGGGTGGGACCACCAGCACCGCTGCTGCACTCAAGGCCGGCCCAGGAACTTGGGGGATGTTGAGTGATTGATGAGCCAACCAACAAAATGGTGATTTATAATGATAGTATATATATATATATAATATATATATATATAATACACACACACTCACACACACATATATATATATATATGGCGATGGAGAGAGAGAGAGAGAGAAATGACATGTACATAAATACATTACATTACATTACACTACCCTACATTTGCATTTACATGTACATTTACATTACATTGCATTGCATACATACATATAATTTGGTGATTTACACATGGGGTTGAACCGGTTTAACCACAAAACATGGTGATTCAATGGGATAAACAAAGCACAAAACATTGGTGAAATGTCACGGGGAACCAACCAAAAGATGATTTTTGATGCGTTTTAACTTAACCATTTAACCAAGCAATAGATGATGATACCCATGGGGTATGATTGTGGTATGATCAGGTGTTATTAGTGGCATTATGTCATTATGTAGAACGGTAAATCATCGTGTTCGAAATGGAGAATTTTCAATAGCAATCTGTAAATCAATTATGGGGTATCATACAAGCACTTAAAATACTATGGATGGATGTAGTATAATCATGTGGTAATACTATTGGATGATTATCAGTATCAATAAAATGTTTGGGTAACCATCGCAACTTGGGTCACGATTCGTCAGGAGGAGTTGGTAAAGCGTTGCGATGCCTTCAAAGCAAAGCAGGAGGAGATGTTCCTTGGCCGCTGGTGAAACTTTTGTAGATCCAGTGATCGCCGACACCCACAACTATCTATCACTTCTTTAAGTCACCTCATGCAGTAGTATAGCTGCAAAAAGATAAAAATGTGTAAATTTCTACTAAAATCTTGGCCGATATATATATATATTTAGATGTTTGTGGGGCTGCTAATACTTCCAAAAATGGGACGTGATAGCATTTGGTTTGCCACTTCAGTTCACCGCTGGTCGGTGGTCGGATCCAGTGATCCAGGTCTGGGATGAATGTCTCTGAGCGCAGATATGCGCAGATGGACTGATCATGTTACCCTTTGGTTGTTTAACATAGCCATGGAAAATGGTTGATTTTCCCATTAAAACCTCCACTTATAAGGGATTTTCCATGGCATTCCATGGCTATGTTAGTCATAACCAGATGGTACTGGTTTTTACAACTAAATCATCCCATGGTCGTCACCAATGACTTCACCCAAAATTGGGATCCCTCTGCCAATCAGGTGGGACTTCATGGAAGAACACCCGGAAGAGGAGAAAAAATCCAAGAAATCCAAGAAGGACAAGGTGAAAGTGGCTGGGGATGCCACTGGGAGAAAACGAATTGGACCTGGAGGATTCTATCGCCCAAAGCCAAGTGACCAAACATGACAAACCGTCCAGCAAATCAAGCAGAGGGGTTTCCATCGGTCTCTGCCTCTGTGAGTGGTGAGTTGAGGTTTTGATTTTCTTTGGGATGTCGATTCAATGTCAGGGCCCATAGGGTCAGTGGCACTGCCTCTGGCCATTTTGGCATATCCATAGGTCCATGTCCAAAGCGTTGATGGGGGTGGCCCAGCCCATTTCTCCAGCTGGCCAGGGTTGGCCCGAAGAATTTGTAGAGACCTCGCGGGATGAATGAGGGTACATATTACTTTCCCATCACATCTTGATAGGCAGGATATCGATATGCTAGATGTGTGACTATTGCATTGTACCTATCAGACTGATTGTCAAACCTATATAAATCAGTGTTTTTCCATTTTTTCCTTTCTGGTTATCCCAAGGTAGTGGCTAGAACATCCCCTCGCCTCGCAGGCTTCGCTACTGGAGGCTGAGAGCTTCGCGTGCGGCCGCTCTGTGGGTGAGTTGGGTACAAGCTACACACCACTGGAGGTTGGAAATGGCACCTTTGGTGGTATAGTTAGCAGTGGCGAAGCTTCATGGTGTTGGACCCTTGCCCTGATGTTAAGGCTATTGTTGAAGCAAGTCTTCGTGCTCTGGGTCAACTGACCGCGCCTTATTCCTACTTGTACCATCTTGCAATATATATAACAATATAGCCTATTTGCTGGCCCACCAATATACTTTTCTTTTGTACTACATACCCAACTGTGCATCTATCCAATCCATCAACTAAACCATCCACTCAACCCATTTCCACTCAAAACAGCTTTGTCTTCCAGGTCCCCGTGCCCATGTTCCACCGAGGGCCCAACGAGTGGAGTTGAGCGATGACTTGCAGCAGCTGCGTGAGAAGTGTATCGAAGCAATTGAAGAGCTGGGGGAGATGAACCCCACCGCGAGGTCGGGCCCTGATCCAAAGGGGATCCCTTGGATTTTGCATGATCCAAATAAAACGAAAGTATGATTAATGGATCCAAAATACTAGCCTAGTGTAAGGTAGTGTTGTTGTAGTTGTAGTGTAGTGCAGTGTAATTAGTGTAGTGTAGTGTTGTGTAGTGTAGTGGTAGTTGTAGTTGTAGTTGCAGCTGCAGTTGTAGTTGTAGTGTAATGCAATGTAATCAGTGTAGCGTAGTGTTGTGTAATGTGGTGTGGTTGTAGCTGTAGTTGTATTTGTAGTTGTAGTGTGTTGCAGTGCAATTAGTCTAGTGTAGTGTAGTTGTAATTGTAGTTGTGGTTGTGGTAGTAGTAATTGTTGTAGTTAATTGGTGTAGTGTATATAGTGTAATTAGATGTAATTAGTGTAGTGTAATGTAGCGTAGTATATTTGTATTTGTAGTTGTGGCAGTAGTGTAGTGTAGCGTAGTGGTATTTGTAGTTGTGTTGTAATTGTG